TTATTTAACAAAAACCGTTTTTTTGACAAATCCAATTTTGGAAATGATCGGCAAAGACGATAAAATCAGTTGTTATATACTAAAGTCAAAATCTACGTCCAAAACCTCCTTCCGTTTATAAGTGAATTTTGTAAAACAGATGAAAATACATCTAATGTGTAAATTTGAAAGCATTACATTAAAAAGAAAATCTTCAACTTAGATTTTTTTTGAATTACTGCGCCACACTGCGCCGTCAACCTGACACACATTTCAGACGTGCTTTATTATAAGCCTATACTCACCCCATGTGATATATGTAATCCTACGTTACACTCATATAAGACCTTTAAAGACGTAATAAATGTCATGGCCATTATGTGCATGTGCGCCCACCTGTCAATAATTTAATTAATATAAATGGGGGAATGGTTTCTTATTACGGAATGTCATTAAAGTGGCTCATGCTAATTTGGGTTTTTGCATCATTTTCGCACATTATTTACGTAATCATTTTTGTAATTATTTTAGTAAGGAAAGAAAATGTCATTATTTTGGATCTGAAATAAAATATTAAATTTTTTGAAAATTCATTTTATTCAAAAAATTTGTATATATTTTTTTCACATGAAAATCATCCTGATCACCAGATTGAGAATTCGACACGATCAGAATCCCGCCTCGTTATAACACAAGTCATTTTGCCGACATGATCAACATAGTATTAACGATGAAATTTTGCATTTACAGTAATAATAATAAGAAAGCAAGGAATATTTTTAAATTCTAACCGTTATATCTGAGAAAAGATTACAAAGGAATAATTAGATTGATGCAATATAACCTTGAATTATTAATGGATTTTGTAATCAATTCTTTTACATTTCGGCACTAGAAATAATTTGAAATTAAAGCGCAATAAGGAGTGAGACGCAGATAATTGGTGAAATGACTGTCTATAAATTGTACTGTAACCATCAGCCATATGAATAAAAGTTACTCGTAATTTTAAATAATTTTGATTGTCTAGTCTAAATAAAAAATAAAATTATTACGCAAAATTTTATTCGCCAAAATTTTAAATCGCGAACTTTCACTTTTAAAACGGATGTTTGTTTATAAATTTTAAAAGAGAATTAAACTTTGTAATATTAAATTGAAATTATAAAATCAATAAAAAAATAATTTAACTAAATAGTAATCAGAAACTGTACAATATTAAACATAGAGAGATATACGATCCCCGATCAAATTTTCATCAAAAAAAATTAAAATATTGATAAAAAATACTAAATTTTCTTATTATATTCTCTTATTATATTTAGAAAGTATGTTGTTTTTATCTTATATCGTTTCAAGATTCAATTTATTATTGTTTGAGAAAATGTTATTCACAGATAGATTTTTTTTTTTTTAAATAATTTGAGTAACTAAAAAGAGTACATACAATAGACAATAAAATCTTTTTTTTTTTGTAATTGATTTGAAACGAAAAAAAAATTTTGAAAATACAATATTATTTTTTTTTTGTTCTAATAAGTAATAAATAAATCTATATAAATAAAAAAATTTGATGATTTATTAGATTATCATTGTTCTTAAATTCATATTAACCATACGGATTTACTCGATAATCAGAATCACGTTATAACACAAAAATCGACGCTTATAATCATAATCCCAAAAATTCAAATTATCCCGACACTCATCCCGAAACTTAATATCTTTCATGAATAAAAAATATTTATTTAAAAATTTTAATAATTATATTAAAAAAAAATTTATATCTTTATTATGGGGATTGCTAACCATCGCCTGGATTTTTTTTTTCAAATATGTCACAATATATAGAGTAAATTTATTAATCGGCTGATGGCTGATTTTTTTAACATAGCTATTTTGATCGGTTAAACTTAAAATTTTATTGCGAAGATATTTTTTAAAAAAATTTTTTTGCAAACATATTTATTCAAAATAATCTTATTTAATGAAATTTTATTTGCAGATATTAAAATTTAAGTCACACATTTACGATTTTAAAGAAAAAAATCACCGTATTTATTTTAATGAAGTGATACAAATAAAAAAAATAATAGTAACAAATAAAAAAGATAAGTAAATTACAATGATCAAGGAGACGAAAAGAAGTGATGGGAAGATGAAGAGGAGTAATAGGAAACGAAAAGGAGTGATGAGAGACAAAAAGAAATGATGGGAAGTAAACAGGAGAGAAAAAGAAATAATGGAAAATGAAAAGATGTAATAGGAAATAATGGGAGACGAAAGGATGGAATAATGAGAATTAATACAAAAAATAAAAAGATGGTCATGATAGGAGGTTGGGTAATGATAGGAAACCAAGTAAAAATGAAACTATAAAGTAAAAAAAAAAATGAAGTTAGTAAGAAACGAAATATAAGATAGAAACGAAATAAAAAAAATAAATAAAAATAAAAAAACATACCTTTATTAATTATAGAACCGAAAGAACTAATTATCTAAAAAAAAGTGAAATAAAATTAGTGAAAACAAAATATGAAACAAAAACAAAATAAAAAAAAAAAAATAAAAAAAATGAGTAAGAAACGAAACGTAAAGTGAAAAACAACTGAACCTTAATTGCAGAACCGGAACCTAAAAATAATGAAATGGAGTTAGTAAGAAACAAAGTGTAAGCAGAATGTAAGTTAGAAATAAAAATAAAAGAAAAGAAAAATACCTTGAGACCGAAAGAACCAAAGAAACGAACCTATACTGAAAACGAGATTCGATTAATAAACATGTTACCAATCTGGCCAATCAAAAATATTAAATCTGTCACGTGATCGAAGACCCAGGCGACGCCCAGGCGACGTTTAGCAATTCCCCTTATTTAATATAAATAAATTTGTTTTTTCTGACTAAATAACATTAATAATAATTATTAAAAATATTAATAAAATTTAAATTTTAAAATAAAACATCAATCTTTTCAAATATTTTAAAAATGAAATATATTAGAAATACAAATATAGAAAATTATTATGACTAAAATAAAAAATAAAAAAAGATAATAAGTGTCGGGATCAGGATTGACATTCAGATTGTCCTGCTGATTGCCAGCACGATCCATTCCCAGGGGTTAAACGTGAAATCACGATTAATTTCATTTAATTTAGGTGTTTAAATTTGTTGGTGTTTTAAATTTACTGCGGTCCGAAAAGATCTTAAACTAGTGGGGAGTTGTGGTAATCCCGGAAATACTGTATTATAAGAAACTTATTATGGAAACAATTTATTTTAATTGGTGATCTTAACAGGAATATCTTAAGCATGTGATTATTTAGGAGACTAGGGGTTTATTGAAATGATCATCATTTTTATGGGAACTTATAATTTTGGGGAAAACTAATTTTATTGATTCTACATAATGTTAACTGAGAAATTAGTATTTAATGACTTGAAATTCGTTTTAGAAAAATTTAGATATTTAATTTTTCCTTTATTTTTGCAGCGTCAGCATGTTTAATTTTTATTTTAATATTTTTATCAAACATGTATTACTAATGAACTCGGACATGAAATAGCAGATGCAATAAGTCTAGTGGTACTTTTTCTATGGGTATCAGGACATTTCGCCGAAAGCCATTTCGCCGAAAAATAATCTCTGGCCTGAGTTATTTATAATTCTGCATAATGTTGGCCCTATTTTTCGGCGAACCGTCCTTTCGGCGAAATGGCTTTCGGCGAAATGTACCGTAACCTTTTCTATGTCAGACCAAGATAATAAACAGGTTTATATTGATTTTAATTTTTGGCCAAATGAAATATTATTAAATCTGGCCAAAATTATAACTTTCAGCCAGAATTGAGAGGTGTTCCGATAGTGAACTTTATCAACACTTATTTTATTTATTTTATTTTTTGAAGTTTAAACATTAAAAAGTTTATAAATTTCAATAAATATCTTGATGTGTATATTTATTAGAAAAACAATTGATTTTTATCTGGATATTACTCGATAAAAAAGTAAAGGGGTATAAACGGTAATACCCCCGTTATGTGAGTTGGATAATACTTTTTTTGATTTGGGTATGATCCGGATCCAGAAATTCTGACGGGTCGCAGCTCTAATTTATTGTACTCTTTTAATTACTTAAAAAAAAAACAAAAAAAAAAATCTTTTGTAATTGTTGATTTTAGTTTGATTCTTGACGAAAAAAAAAGATCAAACAATTATAAAAAAAAATCTTAGAAGTGAACAAAAAAATTTTGATTTATGAAAAAATTAGAAATTCAATGTTTAAATGATGAAATCAGGAATTTTACAGTTGACATCAGTGGTAGCTAAAATATTTTGTAAATTTGATCGCGGTTTGTTATTAAAAATGCTAATTTTTCAACTAATGATTAATTTTGATTTTCAAATATATAATCAAAAAATAATGAACACACCATCATATAATATGTTGTTTAAAACTGGGGATCGTACAAAATCCCGACGGTCCAAAATCCCGAATGGTACGAAATCCCGACAAATAGCCCGCGTTATGCAGAATTATGCAGAGTCACGTGATGTGTTTGACCAGCATTAGAGTTCGGGATTTCGTGCCTGTCGGGATTTCGTACCAGACCCGTTATATTACCTCAATATCATATATTGTACATTCATTATTGCAATCTTTTGATGGACAAAAACTTATTCAAAACTATGGTTAAATTTGATTTTTAGGTCATCAGAATTTTATGAAAGTAGATGTTCCGGCTGGAATAACCTTGACTTGAGAGAAGTGCATTTACAATGTTCCCAAGGCATGCATATGAATGGCTTGAAAGAATAGCCAATAACCCCTTGTCAATCCAACGTCTATTAAATAATGATATACATTTTTAAATAATGATATACACTTTTAAATATAATGATATACATTTACCAAAATAGTTTATATATTGAAAAAATAAAATCACACTACGATAGTAACGTGTCTGATACTATATCGTTGTGATTTATTGGCGATTGCTCAACTGCATGATAGCAAATCATGGATTTCTGCAAAGTATGCTTGCATAAAGAGGGACGTAATGAGAAGATTTAACAATAAAGAATATAGTTAACGATAGTGATATTTTTAAATTAACCAGTATTCGGAATTATTGGAACAAGGATATTAGTAGATACTCAGAAAGAAAATGACAATAATAAAAATTTTTTTTTACATTTTAAAATCAGCTTAAACTCGTTTGCACTTTCTTTATTAACTTTCGAAAATCATTCATTTTTTAGGGTCCATGTAAGGTCAAAATCCTACTTTTAAATCTCAAAAGTTCAAATAATAAATGTTGTTCGTCTTGACTAATTCTACATATTGTATTATGGTACTATATAGCTACAATTAAATCCTGATGAAAGCGTTGAAATTAATTGTAAAAAAATTTAAGGGTGAACAGTGAACTCTTGATTTACACCTCCCTATGATAGTCAATTGTAAAAGAAACATATAGAATTCCGGCTAAAATCATATAATAATAAATACTCTAACAATACATGTCGAAACTCGACAATTTCGGAATAATTTCAGGATTCGGCCTTCGGCCAATCATTCCAAAACGAAACTCTAGCCGAAAGTTGAAAGTTGGGCCGAAATTTTCTGGCCGGCATTATGCATCATTATAAATTATTTGTAACATTAATGTAACACAAAATTTCATCGCAGCATGAAAATTTCTGTGTCCCGGTTGGCTAAACTTTTATCCTGTGTCACGTGACATATGATTCTGGCCGGCACTAAAAAATTTGGCCAGAATTATAAAATAGTTTCGGACATTGATCTCAAGTTTCGGCCAGAGTTTCGTTTCAGATTTCGGATTCGTCCATGTTTTCGGAAACAATATAATCAATTGTAACACAAAAAGAATAAACAAAAGGTGATTACAGTAGTAATACCTAAGACAAAATGATCAACCAGTACTGCGATTTCGTGCTTGTACTTGTGATCAATGCTTTTGCGCATAATATAAATATTGTTACCATATATACCTATCTTTATAATAAAGGCGTTTAATAAAGAAAAGAAAAAAAAATATTTACATTATCTTTTCCAGTCACAGAGAATTTTAATATAATTATATAGTAATGACTCACAGTAATGATAAGGGTAATAATTATATATAATATATAGCATATAATTAGAACTCTAAAATTTTTAACAAATTTGCAATGCAATAAAATTAGTTTCCAAAGAATTTGAAGGAAGTAGTACCGAGGAATCTAAAGGTATATTAAACTAGCTGAAATATTAAATTTTTATTTGTAAATAATTTAAATACTATCAATAATTGTACCTTATATTATATAAAAATTATATTAAATAATTTAGCTCGTAAGTTAATAGGTTATATTATAATTGAATAATAATGGAATTACTTAACATTTCTATTACATTTCATATAACTCATTAAATAATTAATAATACTATAGTTGGTAAGTTATTAGTTATTTAAATCTTTAGTTTTTGCTTTATTTATTTTACATATTATTCAATTAACTAATTCTTTATTTAATAAATAACTATTTAATATTGTATTACAGAAGGTAAGTTAAACTATCATATTTATTTGTTTAATATTTTATATAATTCAACTGATTATATTCTTAATTTAAATAACCAGATTGTAAGTGATATTTAATTTGCAGTAAATATTTTTGTAATGTATTTATATCTAACTAATAATTAATTAACAATACTAGGGTGTAAGTTATAAATACATATATTTTATATTATTTATATAATTTAAACTAATTAAATTCTTTATTTAAAAAATTATTTTATAGGTGGTATGTTATTTATTTAATTCTATTATTACTGATTTATATAATAATTACATATAATTTAAACTAACTAAATTCTTTATTTAAAAAATTATTATACAATCCAATATAGAGAGTAAGTTATTTATTTAATTATTTTATTAATTATTTATATAATATTTGCATAAAATTTAAACTAACTAATTTTTTTATTTAAAAAATTATTGAATAACAATATAGAGAGTAAGTTATATTTATTTAATTCTATTATTACTTATTTATATAATATTTATATATAATTTAAACTAACTAATTTATTTATTTAAAAAATTATTAAACATATAGAGAGTAAGTTATTTATTTAACTATATTATTACTTATTCATATAATATTTACATATAATTTAAACTAACTAATTTTTTATTTAAAAAATTATTTTGTAATTTATTTTAGTTAGTAAGTTATAAGTTATTTATTTAATTTTATTATTACTTATTTATATAATATTTATATATAATTTAAACTAACTAAATTCTTTATTTACATAGTTTGTAAGTTATAAGTTATTTATTTAATTCTATTATTACTTATTTAACATTTATATATAATTTAGACTAACTAAATTCTTTATTTAAAATATTATTTAATTATATAGGGCGTAAGTTATTCTATTTTTACTTATTTAAATAATATTTACATATAATTTAAACTAATTAAATTCTTTATTTAAAAAAATTATTTTATAGATGGTATGTTATTTATTTTATTCTATTATTACTTATTTATATAATAGTTATATACAATTTAAACTAAATTCTTTATTTAAAAAATTATTTTATAGATGGTATATTATTTATTTAATTCTATTATTACATATTTATATAAGATTTACATATAATTTAAACAAATTCTTTATTTAAAAAATTATTTTACAGATGGTATGTTATTTATTTAATTCTATTATTACATATTTATATAACATTTACATATAATTTAAACTAACTAAATTCTTTATTTAAAATATTATATAATAATACAGGGTGTAAGTTATTTATTTAATTTTATTATTACATATTTATATAATATTTACATATAATTTAACTAACAATTCTTTATTTAAAAAAATTATTTTATAGATGGTATGTTAGTTATTTACTTAATTTTATTATTACTTATTTATATTATATATACATATTATTTAAAATGACTAAATCCTTTGTTTAAAAAATTATTTTATAGATGGTATGTTATTTATTTAATTCTATTATTATTACTTATTTATATAATATGTATTACATATACTAATTTAAACTAACTAAACTCTTTATTTAAATAGTTTGTAAGTTATAAGTTATTTATTTAATTCTATTATTATTTATTAATATAATATTACATATAATTTAAACTAACTAAATTCTTTGTTTAAATAGATTGTAAGTTATAAGTTATTTATTTAATTCTATTATTACTATTATTACTTATTTATATAATATTTTATAATTTAAACTAACTAAATTCTTTATTTAAAAAATTATTTTATAGTTGGTATGTTATTTATTTAATTCTATTATTATAATATTTACATATAATTTAAACTAACAATTCTTTATTTAAAAAATTATTTAATAATATAGGGTGTAAGATATTCTATTATTACTTATTTATATAATATTTACATGTAATTTAAACTAACTAAATTCTTTATTTAAAAAATTATTTAATAATATAGGGCGTAAGTTATTTATTATTACTTATTTATATAATATTTACATATAATTTAAACTAACTAAATTCTTTATTTAAAAAAATTATTTTATAGATGGTATGTTATTTATTTAATTCTATTATTACTTATTTAGATAATCTTTAAATGTAATTTAAACTAACTAATAAACTCTTTATTTAAAAAATTATTTTATAGATGGTATGTTATTTATTTAATTCTATTATTACTTATTTATATAATATTTATATACAATTTTAAACTAACTAAATTCTTTATTTAAAAAATTATTTTATAGATGGTATGCTATTTATTTGATTCTATTATTACTTTATTTATATAATATTTATATATAATTTAAACTAACTAAATTCTTTATTTATAAAAATTATTTAATAATGTAGCTCGTAAGCTATTTGTTGTTTCTATTGTTATATTTTATATAGTATTTATTTGTTGATTGAATTCTTTCATTTAAATTTCTGTTACTTTAGTTGGTAAGTCGTAGGTTATTATTATATATTTTACAAAAACTAATGCCGTATATTATATTAAATTTCTTCTTAAATTTAGAGTAAGTGTTGATTTTAATACTGTAACTTTTAATGTAAACTTTAATATAATTACAATTATTCAAATTTATAGATTTGGAAAAAGTGGAAATATAAATATGGATAATTTTATTTTGAAAAACAAATTAAAATGGATTCCTTATGATAAATTTAAAAATGCTGAATATCTTGATAAAGGAGGATTTGGTACTATATATAAAGCTAATTGGCTAAATAATAATGGATATAAAGAAGTAATTCTTAAATGTCATAATAATTTAAATGAAAATTTAAATGAGTTTTTAAATGAAGTATGATAATATATTATTTACTTTTTAGATTAAATATCTAAATTATAATTTATTTATACTAATACATTATTATTTTTTTATAGTGGAAATATCACAAAAGTTGCTTAAGTTCAGATAAAATTATTTATTTTTATGGATTTACAAAAGATCCTAATACTTTGAAATATATGGTAGTAATGGATTGTGCAAATAAAGGTAATTTAAGAGGAAACTTAATGAGAGTAATCAAAAAAAAATGGAGTCAAAAATTATATATGTTATATGAAATTATTTCTGGACTTAATAATATACATGAACAAAATCTTATTCATTGTGATTTTCATGATGGCAATATTTTAGATCATAATTATGAAGATAATGATAAAATTTATGTTAGTGATTTAGGTTTATGTCGACCTGTAAAATCATTTTTGAAAGAGCATAGTATTTATGGTGTATTACCATTTATGGCACCTGAAGTTTTAAGAGGCAAATCTTATACTCCAGCTAGTGATATTTATAGTTTTTCTATGATTATGTGGGAATTTACATCTGGTATACCACCATTTAACGATAAAGCACATGATATCCAACTTAGTTTAAGTATTTGTAAAGGTGAACGTCCTGAAATTATTGAAGATACTCCACAATGTTATGTAGATTTAATGAAAAGGTGTTGGGATGAAGACTCATTAAATAGGCCATCTTCTAAAGAAGTTTTAAGTATTATTGAAAATTGGATTTTTCGTTCTTCAGATAAGAAAATTAAAGATATTAATGAAGAATTAAAATACAATATTATGGAATTTATAAATGCGCCAATTGGGCATAACAATAATCTTTCTAATGAGTCTCATCCACAGGCATATAATACAAGTCGCTTACTTGGTTTTACTAGTAAAGAATTGAATGAAATTCTTGAAAGTAAAGATTCACCAGATTTGGATGATTGTATAGTTTTATTAGGTGTGTAATATAGTATATAAAAAGAATTAATTTGCAAATTATTTATGTGAGTTAACTTTATTTATTTAATTGTTTAGATACTAAAACAGTGTGTTTTTATAAGAATTTATAGTTTTTTTTTAGTGATATTTGATGTCATGCATTTAACAGAAATTGTTGTTTAGATTTATTTAAACACTAATAAGGCTAGAGTAGTAAAATATCTTACAAGATTCTTAGTTTGTAATTTAAATAATTCCTTTTTTTATAGCTTATCCAAGTATTAAATATTATATTCTCTTTTATTTTACTTAGAATTATTTAAACACTAAGACTAGAGTAGTAAATATTTTACAAGTTTCTTACTTTGCAATTTAAATAAATCTTTTTTTTATAACTTTTCCAGTTATTAGATAAATCATCAAAATAATAATATAAGTATAAAAAATCATTATCAATTCATAAAATTGAAAATTTTTATACTCATTTAAGTAGATAATTGTTTTTAATTTATATTGTCAACCTTTATTTTTAGTATTATTTAAAGAAAATTTCTCACTGGCAGTCATGTTGTGTAGGGATCATGGTTATTAACCGGCCATGACTGGTTATGGCTGTGACCAATATCAGTTGGTCAAAGGCTTCTGACTGACTGTTTAACTGACCATTTAACCAATTATTTAGCCAAATTTATTCACTTAACACTTTTTTATGAACTTAATCAATAAAAAAAGTTAAATAACAACTTTTTTTTGATTAAATTACACTTTTTAATGTTTTTTCTTGATTAAAATTCATTAAAAAGAAAAAAGTGATCGGTTAAATGGTTGGTTAAATGGTTGGTTAAATGGTCAGAAAAACGGTTAGCCAAACTGGTCAGTTGGTCGAAGGCCCTTAACCAGTTATGACCAACTGATAACCAACCATGACCGACCATTGCCATCTCTAATGTTGTGTGTCAACTTTGTTATGTACAATATTTTACTTTAATATATTTTTTGAATGAGATGAACAATCAGGGCGCTGGTAAATGCTAATTTTTATTTGTAATTGCTTTCAACTATTTGGATTTATATTCCATGTAGTCTATATATATAAATAAAATGTAGTAAGATTAGAATGTTAATTATATTAAAATTTATTTATTCATTATTGCTGCTTTTTGTTTGGTAATACTACCAAATAAACTGTAAATTTTATTAATTAATATTTTTGTGATTTACATAATATTCAATTATATCTCTTCAATAAATCTAAAAAAAATAATTATGGAATATATAATGAAAATTTATTATTATATAATTTATTCATTTAATTTATATTTAGCATTTTGATATCCTTGTTCAGCAGATTTTTTAAACAAACAAATTGCTTGACTTATATCTTTTTTAATTCCCATTCCATCTTTATAAAAAAAAGCAAGATTATATTGAGCCAAATAATTTCCTAAATCTGTAGCCTTTTTATATAATTCAAATGATTTCTGATAATCAATATTAGTTCCAATTCCTTTTTTATAACACCATCCTAAATTACATATTCCAAGTAAATTTCCTAAACTTGCTGACATTTGAAATAATTCAAATGCTTTTTGATCATTAATAAGAACCCCAATTCCATAAAGATAACAATTTCCTAGATTATAAAGTCCACGTGCACTTTCTAAATTTGCAGCCTTTTGATAAAATTCAAATGCTTTTAGTTGATTAGCAAAGGTTCCAATTCCTTTTTCATAACAATAACCTAAACTAGTTATTCCAAATGTATTATTTAAATTTGAAGACTTTTGATATAATTCAAATGCTTTTTGTTCATCAACATTAATTTCAATTCCAAAATAATTAAATACTCCAAGTAAAAAAATAGAATCAGAATTTTCCTGATTATTAAGTAACCAATTATAAATTTCTTGTGAGGATACATTATGATTATCAAGATATTTAACAACTTTACATTTTCTCATTTTTATTTCTATATTTTCAAAAAGAGAAATTATTTCAACAACCATTATTTCAAAATCATTCATGATTAGATCTGATGAAATTGAAGGATCTATTTCATTTATATCAATCCTACTAAAATTTTGAATAATTTGAGATATTTGTAAATTATTATTAATTACGTTTTCAGAAATTTCATTATAATCGTTTAATTGAATTTCTGAAATAATTGTATTTAATTTCATAACAACCTGATTGATAGTTGGACGATTATCTGGTTCATTATTCCAGCAATCTAAAATATAATAAAATAAACTTTTATAAATATTGTTATTTTAAAATAATATATAATAATTAAATTTAATTAGTATATTTACCAGTATATATTTTTATGTAATCTTTAGGTGTATTGAGAGTGGGCTTCTCTCTAAGACCTTGTAATATTTCCATAGCCAAACCAACATCATATGGCTCATTACAAAAAGGTGGACGTCCACTAGAAATTTCCCATAAGAGTATGCCAATACTGTATATATCACTCTTTTTGCTTAATGTATATATTTGTAATTGATTATTGCTATCTCTTCTATTAAAAATTTGTGGATCGATATAAGTAACCATTCCGAACAATTTTGATTGAACATTAGATAATTCTTCAATCCTTTCTGATAATCCAAAATCAGTCAATTTGATGGTATTCTTATTAACTAATATATTATTTGAGTGCTATTATTAAATATAATATGTATTAGATACTATAATCTTGCAGTATAATTTAATATAATATAAATTTAATAAATAACCTACCAAATTACGATGTACGATTTCTTTATCATGTAAGTATGATATTGCATTAGATAATTGAAATGCCAAATTTAATTTATCATTCCAAGTGAGGTTTTCAAAGTATTCACTTAAATAGTATCGAAGGGTACCATTGTCGGCATATTCCATCACTAACAAATATCTTTTTGAATCATCACTTTGGATTTCTTTTGAAAGAAAAAAAAATTATTTTAGATTTTTTTTCATATGCGTATAATATGTATATATTTTTTAAAAATATTTGTAATATCGCACCTGATGTAATACCATAAAAGCGAATTATATTTTCATGAAAATCCATTTCACGATGAAGTTTAAGCTAAAAAATAAATGAAATTATAAATTAGAAACATAATTTATTATAATACTTCATAAGAAATAAATACTAATAATCATATAAATTACTTCATTAACAATTTCTTTGGTAATGGTATCAAAATTAAAAAAAAGTTTTAACGCTAAATAATTATGAGAATTATTCCAATTTGCACGATATACTTTTCCAAATCTTCCAAGACCAATTCCTTGAATATTATTAAAATATTTATAATCATAATATTTAATTTGTTTTTTTACAATAGATTCTTCAATCCAATTAATCCACTCCTTTGAATTATCAATAAATTTAATTTCAGTGTTATTAGACATCGTAAATATCAAATTTTTTACTGTGGAAGTTAATTTACGTCAAAAAGGTTAAAAAGATTTAAAAAAAAAAAAAAAAAAAGAAAAAAAGAAATTTTATTCCGTTTATAGTTAGTAGAACATGAACACATTCCAAAAAAATAAATTTTGTGTAATTTGTTAAGTCAGCAAGAAAAAAAATTATGAGTAACAACGTCCTACGTCACACAGATCGTTATGGCCTGCATTTGGTTACATTTGAAAATCTGGGACACAGATCGGAATTTTCATACAATTTATTCGGCTTAAAGTCATATTTTAATATTCTAGTATTCTTAAAAATTTTAATATTTAATTTTTTTCCAATAAATGTTTTAAAATTCTAAAAAAAAAAAATATTAAACTTAATTTATCTGTTATAGCGTAAATGCATATCTTCATAATCTTCATAAGAAAGTGATGATTGCCTTGATAAATTTAATTTATAAGTCCATTTATGCGGACAGAAAATAAAAGTCATTTGATTAGACAATTTATTAAAAATCTGTCATGTAGCCGGAGTAAAATATCTGATATAAAACAAAAAAATAAAATAATCAAGTGATATAAAAGTGAATTTGAAATATTAGCAAAAATTTTGATTATTTAAAAGAAAAATGTTGACAATATATTGTTCCAATAGACATTTTGTTATAGGATTAAGAGTACAAAGTTTTAATAAAAAAAAAAAATAACAAAAGAGTAAAAAAAAACTAATGCTCAAATTATGATGATATTGACACAACTGATATAATCATAATAGAGATTTTTAATAAACATGTAAAACTTTAAAACTTAAGGTTTAAACATCCCGCGTAAATTTGGTAATTCATTTTTAATTATTATGTAATTTTTATTTTCTTTCATAAAAAATATATTAATATAATAATTGAATATTCTTTATTTCAAATTTATTCATAAATAAACAATATTTATGCTCAAGTAAATAAAAATACCAATTCAGTTTTATTCATTAATTAGGTTTAAATCAGAAATGTAACGGAAAATTGGTTCCAGATTGTCTGAAATTTTTATTTCAAATTTGATTTAATTTTTACAAACGATTGTTTATGCTTTCATCAGTAAGAATTTTAAAATTATAAATAATTTATACGATAATCTATTCAATTATAACTAAGAATTTTGGAAGATGTCTCAAATCTAAAAATGATATTAAAGGGCGGTAATGCAGATCAATAAATCGGAAAAAATACGGCCCGGAAACAAATTAAATGATCACCTGGATTGTGCAATGATCGGAGTAATTTCCGCTTTTGATTTCTCATTATAAATATAAAAAAAAAATTTTATTTTTCTTTTTTTTTAAATACTTATATTACAAAAATAACTAATGGAACCCGAATTTAGTAAATTAAATATCTCAGGTGGAAATTCTAATTACAAAAATTGTTCATATTGTAATAATCCCTTTACTGAAGAATTATGGTGTAAAGAATGTGACCCATTTAGAATAATGGAAGGATGGACCAGCGGAAATTCTGATATTGATAAATTTATAAAAGATACAATGTGTAAGCCGAAAAATTATAGTCGTGATTATGATAATTATTCATTTCTTGAATGGGTACCATTTGATAGATTTACAGATATAAAAGAAATTGGTGAAGGTGGATTTTCCAAAGTATATTCTGCAACTTGGATTAATGGTAAATCATATTATGACGAAAAAAGTGATGGAAGTTGGAAAAAATTAGAACCTGAATCTATGGAAATTGCTTTGAAAAGGTTAAATGGATCACAGAATATGTCAGATAAATATTTAAATGAAGTACGTTTTTATACTATTTTGTATCTTATTTAATTTATTTCATTTGGGTGTTTAATAGTATTAAATTATTTTATTTTAAATTTATTAAAATATAGCTTAAAATACATTGGGAAATTTCTAACAAAAGTGGATTATCATTTTATGGATTAACTAAAGACCCAGAAACTAAAGAATTTATGATGATTATAGAATTTGCTAGTAAAGGAAATTTGAGAAATGTTCTTTCAAATAACTTTAGTAACATTATGTGGGAATGTAAAATTAAATATTTAATGTATATATTAGTTGACTTAAAACAATTACATAAATTAGGATATTGCCATAAAGATTTTCATAGTGGGAATATTTTACAAACTGTTGTTACTTTTATTTCAGACTTCGGATTATCTGGACCAGCAAATGAACAAAAATCAGATGATAAAGTAGTATATGGAGTAATGCCATATATTGCACCAGAAGTCTTAAACGGAGAACCATATACATCATCATCCGATATTTATAGTCTAGGTGTAATTATGGCTGAATTATCATCAGGAAAACCACCTTTTTACAATAAAAAACATGATTTAAGTTTAGCATTAGCCATATGTAATGGACTCAGACCAGAATTTGGAAAAGGAACTCCTGAATTTTATAAGAAATTAGCTTATAAATGCATGAGTGCCAATCCAAATGAAAGACCAGCAGCTGAAGAATTAAAAAAAATATTTGGTTTCTGGGATAGTTTTATTACAGGTAGTGAAAATAATAAAGAAAAATACGGTTATAAAGGAAAAGAAATTAAAGCAGCATTTGAAGAAGCTGATAAAGAAATACCAAACATCTCAACTTCGTATGAAAAGAATTCTGATGCTGTATATACCAGTAGAGCGTTTACATTTAGCGATTTATTACCAAAACCCGTTAATTCATCCATTATTACTTCATATGTTAATAATGAAGGTATTTTCTATTTTATTTAAAAATTTTATTTTTACTTGAATAATTATTAATTTTATTATTTCAATAGTTAGTGACTCTCAATTAATCGACTTGGAAGTGTCTAATTCAATACAATTAAAAGGCACTATAGATATTGACGATGAAAGTAAGATTGATTATTTAGTGAATTAAATATTATTTATTTATAAGTTATAGTATAACAGTATAATTGGTAACTTAATTCCTTGTAATCTTATGATAAAATTAAGTGACTTAAAAAATTTTATATTCATATACATATATATTAATAAACTTATGCATGTTTAAAGTTAATATATACTGTATAATTATTTGTAAAATTCTGGTATTATAGCCTACCAGCTGTAAACAAAGAATTTAGTTATTTGAATATTAGTATGTAAAACAAAACTAAAAATTTAACATAGAATATGATAAAAATAATAAATAATTCCATTATTATTTAATTATAAGATAACCTATTAACTTATGAGCTAAATTATTCAATAAAATTTTTATATAATATGGTTAGTTTGTGTATTATGTATTATATATAGGTTTATTTATAGATAAGTATTTAAATTATTTTGCAAATAAAAATTTGATATTTCAACTTGTTTAATATACCCTCAGATTCCTTGATACTATTTATTTCAGATTCTTCAGAGCTATATACTACCAGAAATTAGTTTATTATATTGCCAATGAACATACTATATATATGATTTTTACTTTTATCATTACTGTGATAGGGATTGGAACCAGTTAAGATGGTTAACCGGTTAAAACTATATTTACCATAATTCTAGTCAGATTTATATAATGCAGCCCAGAAATATGTAAATTGCGGCCACGTGTTCCTAAACTTGAAGTTTTAATGCCGAATTATTTTCTATTTATTTATAATAATTTTAGTGATACATAGTCTTCCTATAACTAAATATGCAAATAAAATCAAAAATTGGTACAATTTGCAGTAAAAAAAGTTTTTAAAATATTTTTAATATTAACCAGTTATTAACCGGTTATTAACCGGTTAAGACCCTTGGTTAACCGGTTTTTAACTGGTTAAGGTTTTTTTGGACGGTTCCAATCCCTATACTGTGAGATCAGCACACAAAAAATAAGTTGCTATAATTTCTAATATTCCATTTTCCCATGATTTCCTAGTATCAAAATTGGTAAAATAATCTTTATTCTTCAAGTGAATAAAATCCTATAAAAGCACTTTCTAATTTTATCAGTTGCCAGTAGAGATGACAATGGTCAGTCATGGTCGGAAAAGGGGATACTGCTAAATATACGTCACAATCTGTATGTTCAGTTCTTTTCAAACGGTTAATTAAAAATTATTATTTAAATAATTTTACTTTAATTAATAATTAGACGATTTTAGAGATTATTTAATCAAATTCAACCCTATCAAATTTTAACTTTTTAAATTTATCCTCTTTAATGTCGAGCCTATTTTTTATATCATTCAGACTATTGAAGGGGCGTTTTCCTTGTTCAATACGGATATCGTTAAATCCAATATGTTTGAGTGATTCAACAGGTGCTGAATTAAAATATATTTTTCGTTTGCTAAGTAAAAGAATAGAGAATGCATTAGCAGATATTATAATAAAAAAAAGGAATTCCAAATTTTGCAAACATACCAGATGCAAATTGTGCTCGACTTGCATATGTATATCCATAAAATTCTTGCATTTTTTCCATAGATACTAATGCGCTATTTGGTCTATCACTTATAGAAAGGTTGTCTTTCTGATCTGCATTTGTTAAGAATAACAAAACCCAATTTGGGTCAATTTTCTCCATATTTTCAGTAACCTTATTACATAAGAAAGTTATTCGTTAACCCAACAATTTTAACGATTTGTATGTATACTTTATATATAAAGCAATGTTGTTACCTTTTTATACTCATTATCGAATAAATCTTGATTAATGATAAGCTTTGAAGTAGTAGTTAGTTTAGCTTGCAGAGCTAAACAAATTTCAGATTCTGAACTTCCATCTTTAAGAAGCACAAAGACATCCCAGGTAGTGCTTCGACCCGGATGAAAACCGTCATCCGGATTACACAAAAAAAAAATCTGGATTATATCTGGATTGACCCGGATTTTGAATCCGGATCAGATAATCCGGATAGAAACCGGAAACCGGATTGGATTTACAAATGATCGGCAATAATTCTGGCCAGAATTCATAACGCCGGCCAGAATTACAAATTGTGTAACATTAAATTTTCATGCCAGCCGATAAAAAATTTTTTGCCCGGTGGCTAAACTATTTTCCCGGTGTCACGTGATGTTAATTTCGGCCAGAATTACAAATTTGGCCAAAATTATCCAAGA